TAATCAATATAGTTGTTTGATCTAAAACCAAAATGTAAGAAATTTCATTTTCCATTATGATATTATCAAAAGCTAGTTCATAAAACGATCAGATGCTGCAATAGGCTCCCTATGAAGACATTTTTTTAATAGCTGTCATAAGCAGCTTAACTTTCTTTACTGTGTTATTAAGAAAAACACAAATCACATAAATGTTTTTTCTTTAAGTCATTTCATGCAATTCTCCAGATCAATAACAAATACATATAAAGACATCTATATGCCTCACCCAGGGCAATAGATTTAGCAATTTATAAAGCTTCTCACATTCACCCTTTAGTCCAAATAATTTACTGTTTGTCCATTGGAGGCCTTTTCTGAAATTCCTCTGTGGTATTTTTACACATAGAACCTTAAACCAACAACAGTGCTGTAAAAATACATCTGTTCAAAAGTATGAATAAAACTGCTCTTAAAAAAATCATTGATCGTACATTTAGATCTCATGACTCTTTATGAGAAGAAGAACAGTTCTACTGTTCATACCTGACCTAAGTTTGGCTATACATTGGGCAAGAGAGCTTTCCTAAAGAACTGAAATCAGGTTATTTCATGTGCTTTTTTAGGTTTGCAGAGAATGTAGATACAGCATGGAAGTTTGTGTGTAACCAGCTGCCATCAGAACTGGTTTTAACTTAAGTTTCTGCTGCAGCTGCTTAGCTGACAAAGCCTAGTGCTTACAGTAAGCAGAAAAATCCATATGTAATGCCCTCCATGTTTGTTCTTACTGTAGAGAGCGAGGACCTTTACAGGAGTCATCAGATTCTAATCCAATCACAATCCAATCCCATATTTTTCACAGTAATTATATTTTTATGATGTCTGCATGCTCTGTTTTTGGTGAGTGTTAAATCGGGTTAAATCTGAGTTTGGACCCCTTTGCCTACTGTGAATATAAAACATTTCCAATATCTGCTCTGGCTACCTGGTGACAAGTTCTTATTTTGTCCTAATTACAGCTAAACACCATCAGTATAGCAGCTTATTTCAGTAAAAGCCTCAGTGCAACAGCAGTCTTTGTTTTAGTCTGTATTTTATGAGTTGTTGGTTAGCAAAAGGAGCTGGCACAGGATTCAGGCAAGTTTCTGAAATAGCTTTTGAACTTTTGACACAAAGGATGTTGCCAGATCATCTGCCAAAGATGTCACTCCTGATGTAATGAAGCCTATTGAATGCATAGATGTGAGAGTTTCCTCCAAAAAAGCAATTTCCATTTGACAATAATGATATGACACTAGGCAGTGCATTTGAGAGGATTGTTTTACTTTTTCAGTGGTTCAACTCACACAACATTTGGCAGCTTCTTCCTCGCCATACTTGAGGCATGCAATAAAGACTTGCTCAGGAATGGAGTGTCTCTCTCTTAGTATTCATTCATTCATTCCAGTCATGCAATTTTACTTATTCATGCAGTTTCCATAACATCCAAGTGATAGATTGCACATAATTTACACAGATAAATTACTCACAGCTGTGACTTTTTAAAACTTGGAGCTCAGGTCAGTAGTTCTAAGTTGTAGCCTGAGAGTTGCAAAGATTCAAGATCTAATTATTGTTTTCCATCTAGTTTTATCTGTTATATAAAATGAGGATAGCATAACAGAAAAAAATGGATGATAAAATAATAATTAAGGTAGAAAATAGTTATTAATTTAGGAGCTTGTACTTTAACCAAGACAGGTTCTTCAAGTGCAGTGAGGAATGCCTGCTCTCCAAGACTTGCAAAAAAACCACAGTGAATTGTTTATGAATTGTTAAACATAACTTTTGTATTAAGACATTGAGACATTCTTCCATGGCACATCTAAAAGGTATTGTAAGGAAAGAGGAGGTTTTATTTCAGTGCACAAATCCTTTTGACAAGTATATTCTAATTAGGGGTGAAATATTCTTGTGTGTTCTTGTCCTGCATTCGTGGAGGTTTTCTGTAAACCTCATAATTGGATTGCATTTGTTTTCAAAGATCTCTGAGAATGAGTGTCAGCGGCTCACCATGGCTAAGACTGATGGAAAAAATGAAAATTAAATTCCTAGAGGAGAAATAACATCAGAACTATTATCTTCTTTAATAACTAGCAGAAATGGATCAATTAAAATGAATTAATTCTACCAAATAAAATTTATCAATTATCAAAGAACAGAGAAAATCATAATCTAAACATTCAGATTTATTTTTTCCTTTAGGAATAAGTGTGCTGATCTCAAATAGTCACTATGTTCTTACAAGGCATTTGTAGCTGCAAAACCTGGAATGATGCGCTGATTCATGATTAATGCTGTCAAAGCAATCTTTCTTTTAGAAATGTATTCTCTCCCACTTTTTTAGATTTGTAAGTGATTGTGAAAGTTTTGGTAATCTTAACTTCCACAGCTGTATTCATTCCTGGTAATAACTTTGTTCACAGAAATTGAGCAGTCTGTTTTTGTAAAAGAAACTTTTATTTTACTAGAATTTTTAATCATGGCTATGGACTATGCAGACTACCAGTTTTCTGAGAAAATGCTCAAATGTTTCCTACCAGAATTATAGTGACTAAGCAAATTACCCAAAAAATAGATTAATGCTATAGAAAATGTTGGAGTATTTAAAGTTGTGCAGATATTTCCTCAGTGTTTATTGCTTTTAGCCTTCTAAGGACTTATAAAAGTCTTATACTTTGAAATGACAGATTCTCCCCTCCAAAATACTATTGTATTACTACTACTACTACTACTACTACTACTACTACTACTTATTAATATTATTATTATTATTATTATTATTATTATTATTATTATTATTATTATTATTATTATTACTATTATTATTATTACTATTATTATTATTATCTTAAAAGAAAAAAATAACTCCAGATGTTAAAATAACACCTTAATTATTTATCACCATTTTTGAATGAGGTATGGAATATTCTAAATTCCCAAACAGCTGTGGTGCCGTTGGCAGTGCCAATGGCTGTGTTATTTATTTAATAGGCATGATCTGGAAGTGGAGAGTTTGGACACATATCCAGCATCATTGGTGGGTGGTTTGGTTTTTTTTTTTACATCATCCTGTCACTTGGAGGTGAGGCCAGGTAACCCAGCTGTCCATCCACTGTGGAAAACCTGCCTTTAACTGACTTGCCTTTTGGCTGCTATTTAACAGTTAATTATTAATTATTAATATTAATTTCATTAGTATTTCTTTATGGCAGAGCTTCTTTCAAAATCAATGGAAAATAATAATATCAGTAAAAAGGGTTTATTCTGAGCCAGTACTAAACATTCTGCTGGTGGGATTTGTCCCAGAGAATTCAGAGCAGCGGTGCTCCTGAATGCCTCTCTCAGCTGTGGCGCTTGGGTGGTGTTGGAACTCTGGATACTGAGAATTTTAGAAGTATTTCCAAGTGTTTCCACATTGGCAGGAGCTGTGCTGGGCAGACAGGAGTCAGAGCAGCCCTGAACTCCCTCCTGTCACTGAATTACCCATTTGTAGGGCTGTCAGTGTCATTGTCCCTCCTTAGAGGCACTGGGGTCATCTCCAGAGCAATACAAGGAGTGGCTACCAAATAACAGCAATGTCTTCTTGCATTTATTTTTACACTTTATATATTTTTTTTTTAGTGAGAAAGCCAAGAACAGCAATCGGTATCATACTTTGAGCAAGAATATGCAAGTGAGAGTCCACATTAGAAGGCTAAAACTTCCTGGTCTCCAAGTAGTTGTATTTTCTGAAAGATAGTGATTGCATACTGAATCATGGTTTAATTTTTTGGTGATTTTTCTTTTTTTTTTTTTTCTAAAAATACTCATATTGGTATTATACAATGAAAAAAACTGATCAGCAAATGCACATAAATGAAGAAAGAAAATTTCAGGAACTCTATTACAAATCAGATAATTTGTTCCAATGTTTTCCATTACTTTTAAATGTCTTATTTGTCCATAATTCAAATAAAAAATAACGTTTAATAATTTAGGGTAAGTGTAAATTGACATTAATTTGTTGTTAGAAAGCTGAATCCTATAGAATTCATTATATTCTAGAAATCACCAAGTGCATATCATGATACTTATTTACCCCAGCAGCTGATTCCATTTCTGATAAGAATAAATTATCCTCTCTTCAGCATGGGTTTTTTGTTTTTTTTTAATACAAAATCCAAAAGCTGAAGTTGCCTTTATTGACAATGATAATACCTACTTGTTGAGCTCAGCCTTCATAAATTGTAACTGTTTACAGTGTGAAAATGAAGCCTCATCATTTTCTTGAGACTGTTATGGCATGAAGAAAATAAACACAAAACAAACCAGAACTTTTGCTTATTGATATCTAAAATTTAATACAATTTTGCTATGTATATCTGTTTAGAAAAGGTGTAGTTATTTAAGAAAATAATCACTGGAATATTTTAGCTACTGCGCTGAGTCCACCAAGGACAGGGGGTGTGTTTTACAAAACTCATTAGTGAAACCATCTGTTCTTCTCTCCTTCTGAGCTCTGCAACTTTGTGTGACTTCTCCACTTCCAAAATGTCTGTTCTCATCACAGAGAGCACCATCAGACTGCAGAAATCTTTCCAAGGATCATAGATGGTGGATATTTCCACAGGGTTCATTCTTGCACAGAAATGCCTTGTGAAATAGTTTAAAAGCTCATCAGTCTGTCTGAAACCTGTCAGCTTAGCACTGGAGTCCATTTAAATTTCACAGACCCCTGGGGAGATATTGACCCCTTCTAAGTTGTCTGCCCATTTTATGGCCCCATGAGAACATCAATGGTGCTGCATTGTCAGGTGGATTTGGAGTTTGGGTTGAGATTTTCGTTTTTCTGTTTGGTTTCTATGGGTTGTTTTTGTTTTTGTTTTTTTTTTTTCTTATTTATTTATTCGACTATTTATATTTTTTTGGGTGGTTATGTGTTGGGATTCTATCTTTGTTTTGTTCTATTTTGATGGTGTGTTTTGTTTTTGTTTTCTGAGGTTGCTCTGCCAGCTGTGTTTCCTAGTCTGAGAGAGTTTCCTGGGGTAGAAGAGGTGAGTGAGTCCCTGTCTCACGCTCAGTATTATTCTTCGTGGAATCTGAGATCATGTAGAGATTAGTAAAAATTGATTTAGCAAAAGAGGGATGTTATTACTGTCTTGGTAGGTTTCCTAAAAGCATTTATGCAGCAGGAATGAGTGGTCTATATCTCTATGTGATAGTTAAACCCAGAGAAGAGTAACTTAGTTGAGCATATTGCAATCTGATGAGTAACTGAGTGAGTAACCAAAGCCATTTGTCATCCTGTGAGTTAAAGTAGATTTGCTCTGAACAGCTAAGGGAGAAGAAGAAAATTTTGGAGGAAAACAGTAATTTCTTGTTATAAACCTCTGAAAAAGACATGTGGCAATAAGAATTTAACTCCTTATGCTGAAGCTCAGTCTGACAAAGCACAGGAAATATTCTTCTAGGCACTCTGCTGTAAGACTGGCTCTCTTGCTTTCTACCAGAGAACCACACTCTGATGATACTGAAGTGTTTCTAAATGGATTTAATGGATTCCTTTAAGTGTCTTAGGATAAACCTAATGCCCAGAAGGCAAACAGCTCACTCCCCCCACTGTTTTTTTTTTCCTCTCTATATATGACATGTCATTCTGTTGATTGTGAAGAAATGTGTTTGTTTATAGTTAGTGTTTGACCAAATGACCAGTTAGATATGTTGTATTAGCAGCTCTTGGAGAGGTAACACTTGCTTTTAAGTGGTTGTCGCAGCACCAGCTTTTAGGCCCTGTAACATGTTTGGAAGTTGAGTCCCTTGCTCTTTGAGATTCATCCCCCTACAGCATGGGCAGAGCAATCCAAGTGTGTGAATGTGTATCAGAAAACAATATCCAAGACTTGCTGTGTTGTTCTTACTTATGTAGAGGTAAAAATTTGCATAACATGGTGTTTGAAAGCACCCTTGTGAGACCTGCAGAGCAGCATGACTTCCAGCTTTCACTGCTTAGGAGTGAATAATAAAGGACTTCAGCAGAAAACTTTGGCATTAAATGTTACCCTATGTAGTGATCAAGTCCCTTGACATTAGTATCTCAATACAGAAATATTTCTTCATCTCTCTGAACTGGTGTAAGAACAGGTGAGAAGGTCCACAGAATCCTAATCTCCTGTTCTGCACATTTATAGGACTGGTCAGCATTGCTGAGTTTTCAAACCCTTTGCCTGAAAAAGAGCAAAGACTTTACAAAGAAGTAAAACTTTTCTCCATCCTATGGCTACCTCTCTGATAAATATTTTATGCTCAGTTCAGTATCATTCCACTGGCAGTCTTTGTGGTTTGCTGTGTTAAAAACATGGATTATATGGCACACCATGGTCTCAGGATTTTGCAATGTAATGGATAGTTTTAGATCATTTGTAGTGAAAATTAAATTTGTCAAATCCTCTTGTGGTTCTAGGATTAGAAAATGTGCTGTAGATAGGCTTAGCACTAGTCCTGATGTAATCACATTAAAACATTACTATCTCATTATACCAAGTGAGGCACTGGACTAGATTGAATATTTGTACATTTTTGATCTACAGACTCTGCTTAACACAAACACTGAAGTCACATTGCAAAGCATTGGACAAGGTTGTCAGCTGCCTGAATTTGCTAATATTCTTTCCAAGTATTTACATATCAAAAAAGCATATGACTACTAAATTATAATACTATGATTACTTCCATAAATATTTCCTATTTTTAGGTTAGAACACAATCATTTTAGTTCTGTGTGTCCTGAGTGGAGTCCTGAATATGAGATGTACAATTCTATCCTGATTCTGTCTTTAGGTATCAGCAAGGTCTGTATTTTATGATTTGTGTAATTGAAGTCAGAGCATCTTTTTCCTTCAAGATCACTTTCATAATATATTCCCAACAATGTCACATATTTTACAAAGTAAGGTGTGTTCTTATGAATTAATGATCTGTCAAAATTTCTGGCTGTTTTGGTAAGCAAGTTTTCATCACAGAAAACAATACAAGTAGAAATACTAAGGATTTGTGTTTTATTTTAATTTGAATTTTGATTCTGAGTTTGTATATATTCAAGTTGATTTGCAGCATGGGTGGTTATTTATCTTTCTGTGTTTTTTATCTGGACTGTCAACAAACAGATATACAAGCAAAAAAAATTCCCTAGAACAGATTGTTTTACGAAAACTTGAGAGTCCATTGCTACACTGTGCATAACATGGCAGTTTTTTAAAATTATGTCATTAATTGCTTAAATAATACTTCTTAACAGTATTTTTGCTGAATGTTTGTTAAGAATAATTCATAATTCAGATCTGAGTTTATAGGCAATACTGAGTAATCAAAAGCAGAGGATCTGGTCTCTGTGCATCCAGCCACCCCATAGGTTGCGGCAATGTCAGCACTTTTTATGAACTAACTTCAAAGCATTAAAAAATATTGGTTTGGATTTGTTTCCCTTTTTATGTAACTTAATTTTCTTATCATCTTTCTTTCTCAGACCACAACACTGTTTTCCCTACCCCTTGTTTAGCTGTTGTTTCTGATTTAGTGTTATTTCTGTGCATAAAGGTCTGTTTCCATAGCAGAATTCTCACGTAATATAATTTTTTTCAGATATTGAGGGGAAAAGAGATAGCATGTATAGGCAAGAGACAAGAAGGAATGTATTTGATATTTACCTTACCGTACTGTAGCTAGTTTCAATGGCTTTCCCTGCTAGAGAAGATGTTCTGGGCGGGAAAAAGAAGGGATCTTGTGCAGAGTAGGAACCTTAAAATAACTGTATTCACAAGTACTTCTGTTTGGCTTATACTGATCCAGCCCCTGAATGCAACCAGTTGGATATTGCCACAAGTCAAAGCTTAAACATAAATAACTGACTAAATTTTTCCGAAGTCTTTCCCTAAATAACTGAAGAAAAGTGATTCAACTCAGGCAAGCTGCAGTCTTGTCACAGACAATGTGTGAGTAGAATAAGAAAAAAATTATTGAAGGAATAATTCACTGTAAATTATTTTCATAGTTCTAATGATGGGATAATCATCCATTGTGGTATTTTGAGTTAATGTTGGAACAGCATCATTTGATTTTTTTTTTCCTGTCAGTATATCCTAGAGAAGAAAATAATTTTCTTTTCTGTGAAGAATGTGGTGGGTCAATCACTGCAAACTGTCATTTCCCTCAGATTAAGGAAATTAAATTTCATAATCTAGGTATGATAATTTCAGGAGGGTTTTTTAATTGGAAAAAAAATCTAGTTGTCTGCACCATGTATTTTATGATATTATATGATAGTACAACAAATACACACACAAACCTGAGCTGTAGATTTTTCTACCCTTCTACAAACTGAGTTTGAATGTGTGTACGCAGCAGAAATGGCTATAATTGTGCATATTTAGCTATCCTTCATTATCTGGCTTGGGCAAGGCAGGAAATCTCTCTAGATGAAATGCTGCATGGACTGATGATCTGAGCTGTGCGTTGCCATGGCTGGGTCCCTTTCAGGATCATTTTTTAAAGCTAGACAAGGTCTCATAGTCTATTTTATGGACTGTGATCACAATAATTTCTCCTAAAGTCATGGCACGCTGCTGAACTTTTTGATAGGGAATTTTTTTATCTTTAACTGTAGGCACAAGTCAGTTTTAAATTACTTAAAAGTGAAGTTTCTTGAAACAGTTTTTTTTTTTTTTTTATGTGAGGATTCTCAAAACAAAACAAAAACCCAAAAAAAACCACCCCACAAGTTATTTTTACTCAGAAAAGAAGATATAGCTTCAGTTTCATTTTTCCTCTTTGCTTCAAACTTCCAGAAGCATGATTTTTCTATAGTTTTCATGTGAATTATTTGGATACTTCTATTTACATTGGAACAATGGATATCAGTGTTGATGAACTGAAAAGTCTTTAAGCCAGTTCTAGTTCTACCTGCCCAGCATGTCATTAGGTCAAGATTTACGGAAGGTTAATTTTAGTTTGCAGATCAAGCTAATAATTTTGATCAAGGTTGTATTATAGGACCTAATAATAAAATAACAAAAGAAAAAAACCAATTCTGACACAGGGATTTGTGCTTCTTGTGCCATCCCACTCTAAGTTTGACTATTTGTCCTAGAGCAAGCTACCAAGAGAAAGTTTTCTTTTAGGTGAAGATTTGGAAAGACAGGATCTTCCTAGGAGTGAGTTTTTGCCACAGGATAAAATTCTGAAAAATGGATTTGATAACAGAGTCCATGATAAATCCTTAGCTACATTTGCATTGGCAAGGTTGCTATTATCAAATAAGCATTCGCAGTGTTTAAAGTCTTTGATTACCACAGAGATTCTCATACCAATCCAAGACCACATTTACCCCAAAAAGCAACAGACTGCAAGTGTATTCATGTTTTGAATGTTTTTGTGCCTTCACTTTACTTCAAATTCAATGTTTAGTTAATGGAAGTCTTCCCACAATTCAAGCAAATTGCAATTCTTTTATTTGTTTGTTTGTGTGTTTGTTTCTTAAATCAGTTTTTTTAATCAGTTTCCATCTACCCTTTCCTATTACATGAACCATCCTTTGGGAAGTGTTGAAACACTTTTTCCTGTAATTCTTTCCAATATTTTACTGGTGCGCATCAAACGTGGAGGTCCTTTCAAAAATGTACTGATCCCTCTGCTCAGCTTGGCAGAAAATGCCACTCAGGATAGAACAGATGAAAGAATTCATGAGAGGGGGACCTGAGCAACATGTGGAGGAGAAACCCTGTGCCTGCCCTGCCTGAGGGAAAGTGAGCAGTGACAGGCTGAAAAGGCTGTCATGACCAAGCAGAATCAATTCCTGCTCAATATTGCTGGAGCTGGAATAGTGTTTCCCCCATGCCACAGTTTTCACTCTTGTTGCTGATGTTTGAGGATCATTGCTACACAGAAATAAATATTGGCATCAAAGAGTGAGGGAGGAATTATTTTGGAGACATCTTAAGCTGAATTTTTGTTGTCTTCTGTGCAGAGTAAGATATGTAAGACTTTTGAACAAACAAACTAT